TGCATAATGATACTAAACACGCAACAAAGTTGTGGAACGCCAATGTTCGATGATTTTCGGGAGCTCGTGCCCGGCTCTGTTGAGCAGCTGGCAGCCAAGTTCGAACAGGAAAACAGTCTCGACCAACAGAGTTCAAGAACTGTAAAACAACTATGGGCAACAACAATGAGGCTGTTTAAGGCATCAATTGTACGCTTGGTCTCACGGAGACTGCATCCTACCAATCCTTCAGACGGAGATGGCATAACATCATTGCAAGTCACAGGTGAAACTCAGGGCATTGCCCCCGAAGGAGATGCACACCATCTTCTTCCTTGTATAGACAAGGGATCCTTCGAGACAACACTGCATCATTGCAGGGTCGAGTACTACACCACCGATAGGGAATTGTTTAGCTTTCTAAGACGGGAGTACTATGACTACCGGAAGCCAAAGACTTGGTTCACACTTCGCAGCGTTGGGCTGATATCGCTGAGCGGGGTAAGTATGCTTACCGTTCAGACACCACTGCAAGCTATCCTGTTCTGATGAAGCTTCTCAGTTCACCGTTGATTTGAGCACATTTGCTGAGGTTCACAAACACTCCTTGGTATGCAATGCCGAGTGTGTCTGCCTCCCCCCCGAGGAAAGAGTTGGGTCCGAGTATGTGTGTAGCCCTGCTCCGGGCACGCAGCCCACGAGTTTTCCCGCCATATCGGCGAGACGCATGACACACTATTTCCGGAGCCCAACATGTGCAGAAAAATCACAGAGTAGCATCTACCAACAGCTTCCGAAGCGCGTAGCTGGCGAACTAAAAGCGTCAAGGGAGAATGATGTTGTCGGCTGGGGGGTCCACTGCGAGGAAGGCTGGCACTGGCGCACCATTTACTTGATCATTGCCATTTTTCTTTTTTGCTTTAGCTTGTTGTTTGGAATCATCTGGGCGACCACAAAGTCTGACATTCAGGGTGGGTTTGCTGTATCAAGTTTCTGGCTTACGACGGGAAGCGTATTGTTGGGATACGTGGCTGTCAAGAGCCAGTGAAAGATTTCAGGTTGTCTCATTATCTGTTGAGAATGCAGAACAAATTCCCTCGTTCATTCACCCGAAGTTTCAGCTATTGTCGCATTGATGGAAGGCACACGGTAATTCGTGAGTCATCAGCTCCAGTCAGGTCACGGTCAGTGCCAAGCAGCCTTCGAATCATACGTTCTCAGGGATGTTGTAACTGAAAAGGGAAAGAACCCTCTGTAATCGACACTGAAAATTTGAGTTTGTGGAAGTTACGTCTGTCGAAGGGTATACTGGCGGGGTATCTAGTGATGGTGCGCAATTCGCTGCTGGTGCTTTTCTCGGCAGCCACCTGTTTCATCCCCAGAATTCCTACAACCTCCTTCACCATTTGATGGAGAAAAGGACGTGATAGTCCCGCTTAACACCTACGATGAACAGTATTCATCGCCTTAGAGCATTGCACATTTTACATGTTCATGGTGGCGGGGCCATAAGAGCAAAAGTGAAGTCGTTTCTCGTTGCATACCCGACAGGGAACTAACTCAGCCGACCATCATCTGATGAACAGGTTGGATAGGTGTTTTCGCTTCTCCCCTCGGTCTCGACATCCCCCCTCCCGCTGAATATCCGAAAACTACTACCTCCTTCATATTTACTCAGCATCCTGCTCGACCTCCGCCTCGGCGGTTCTGCCGGCAAGCTTGTCCGCAAGACGTCTTCCCCATCCACCGAAACCAGGCCAGCCGCCGAAACCACCGCCGCCACCGCCGGGAAGCTTCGAGATGGGACCAGTGGGGTTCATAACACCACCGTTGGCAGTCCAGAACGCAGCAGGATCGACGGGCTTGTTCGCCTGCTGGTTAATACCGAAGCGGATCCAAGCAAAGAGACCCTCAGAGACATCCTTGCCGACGAGAGCGTACCGCACGATCGGGTCATCACCGTTGGCACCGGCTTGGAAGAGGAAATCGCGGGTGTTCTGGACGATGGCCATCTTGTTGGTGTTGTACGGGGAGGCCTTCTCAACGTTGGTGATGAGACCCTGGTCAAAGTAGATCTGGCCGATGTGGGCAGCACGGCCACCAGTGATGGTATTGTTGGCCTCCTTCTTGGCACCGAGGTACACGATGGCTGGATCCAAGGTCAGTCACCATCTTCTCTTCTTCGTCAACTTTCTGCTTCAGGGAGGATCTATCTTACCGTGGATATGAGTTGCACGTCCGTCGTAGTGACCGGGGAAGAGGGAGTCGAAGGCGGCAATGCCGTGGCTATCGGTGGGCTGGACGCCACGAAGGGTAGTTCCCTTCAGGATGGAGGCATCCTTGGGGTCACCCATGCCGGGATAACCTTGGACACCGACATAAATGCCCTACAATAATCTCTTAGCTTTGTCATCCCGAACCAGCATCGGAACAATAACTCACGGTGGCGTTGGAGCTCCAGATGTCAACGTAGGCGTTGGGGACAGTCTGGCAAGTCTTGTAGTCGACTACTTGGATGGCCAAGGTCAACTTGACGCCCCTCTCACCATTGGTGATGTCCTTCCTGATCTCCTCGCCCTTGACGTCTATACATCACAGTATTAGCGTACTGACGTTACCCTGCACCTCATATCTGAGAACCTACAAAGCGGTCCCTGGTCGACAGCGGGCATCAGCATGCAAGCACCAGAGTTGGTGAAGAGTGTCGACAGGTCCATGCCCGTAGTAACAGGGATGTTCTGCTTGTGGTCGATTCTGGACACGGAAATGTAGTCGCGAGGGCTGAGTTTGGGCCTGCAGTCATTCTGGTCAGCTTCCTCCACCACTTGGAACCGGCAGTATCGCATACTTCTCGTCAACATCGTAGCCCAACGCGCGCCTCAGTCTGGCGAGCTCTTGTCCATGGACCTCGACTGTCCGCTTCACAAACTCGGGCTCGTTAAACTCCTGGCTGCAGTGATCAAGTGACCTCTGCTCCAAGGGAAGGGCGCGGTGAGCGTACACCTTCTCGTGGTGGCCCGGGTGGGCGAGGGCGAGGGGTGCCGTCAGCAAGAGGCTGGAGAGGAAGGTTTTCAACGCCATGGTCGCAAGCAGGTCTCTGAAAAGCTGCAAGAAGGAATGAGAGAGCAAACCCGGAGGCCAAGATGCAAAGTCGGCATGACCCGAGATATCTACTTTTCTCTCTGCCTGCTTTTCCAGTCTCAATGCAACCAAACCGGATCGTCGGCTCTGGCCGGTTGGGTTGCCAGAACAGAATGGCACAATCAATATATCCAAGTCACATCACCAAACATTCACCCAAGGCCAACGGTTTCCCGCTAAGCCACGGGGGCAGCACGTATAGTACCGCCCATACCCTCATCTATATCAACATACCCACAGGCGCCCCTCGGATCACAGATACGGCAACCATGATTGGTGTTGTCGCACCAAAGATGCTCAAGCGATCCCAGGCGCCAAGGATTCCCCGGATTTTTAATCTCCGTTTGCAACACTGTTTTTTGAGGAGGTGGACGAATCGGGTTGTCCGGAGAGTATGGTTGTGTTGCGGTTAAATGCCATAGGATGCCACTGGCTGGGTACGGTGCACCACCGCCGGTGGCCGATCCGAACCATATATGCTGGGTCCCCTTGCTACAGAGCATGACGAAGCCACCCGCTTTACCCAGATTTTGGATGACCACCTTTCATATACTCTCGGAGCCCTCTTTCGGCACTGCTCGGCAGTTGCTGTGCGTTTTTCCCTTGTTTTCTTTTCCCGCCACATCCCGCAAGGTTATGTCCAGCGCATACTTTGCCGGATTCCGGTTGTGGGTTACTTTGCTTCACTCTTTTTTACATTTCATCCGGGCTGTTGGTTAGATCTTTCTTGTTGCTTGTTCCTCTGTCGGTGGGGACGACTAATCTATTTTGCAGCAGTTTGTTTTCTTGGCCTTTGCCCCCTTTGCGGATAAAGGTTCTTGTGCTACCTTTGCTTGCCATGGCGGTTGTTGGAATGTTTCGTTTCTTGTCGGGGCCGGCAGCACGATACTATGTATTTACTGACCAGAGGATATTTATCCGCGTGGTGATTGGCCCGGTAGATAGTGCTGAACTGGAAGGTATCCTTGTTGTTTGGTTTCACTGGAGCGGTTGCGGCTGCCATCAAATAAAGATAGGGGCGCTTGATCAGCAGGTGGCTTGTCTTTGAAGTCGGTTTTGTTTGAGCTCGGCAGACAAATTTGATGCATGTAACCTGTGATCTACACTGTACATGTCTTTGGCTTCTACACTTGATAAATCCCTCAGTAACTGATGTGAATATTCCGCAAAGCTTTTCATAATTCCAGGACTCTTACATTGCATATCTGTATGGAGATTCCTTATCGCTCTTGGTTGATGAGCTTACAGTGCGACATGAGGGAGATAACGACATGACATGTGACACCTCAAACCGAGAAGTCCACCAGGCGTCAAGAGGCGTTTTTCTGACGCAACCTATCATCTTCGGACCACAAATCATGAGAATAGCGTAATGGTAAGTGTGCACAGTGGAAACCCCTGTGCGGTTAACCGGAGGGGCTCAAAATGTTGAGAAACATCGAGGCCAGGGGGTTCAACTCCCGGAAAGGTGCCATATGCTCTTGATGGAGCCTGGTCTCTCAGTATGTGTTTGGAATATTCATGCTACATGATTACGTAAAGCACGTCAAGATATTCCTGAAAGGATTGATTGATGGATGTGATAGGTTGTACTTATCACATCCCGACAAGGACGGCCGGTGAAATCGTGCGGGCACTGCGAGTTTCCTTGTTCGAATCAATGTTTCATGATTTTTTGGCAGTTTTCGTGATCTCTTATCTTCTTGTGGCAAGATGCCACCCACCATTCGCAACAACTTTACAATCGTTGAGTTCTTTCGTTTTCTAGGCTGCGAGCGATCGTGGATCGAACGATGCTGATGTTGTGATTATGAGCCATGAAGCAGACAGAAAAGGAAGGAACGCAAGATAGCAAAGGCAACAGCAGGCACGCGATAACGCGTGAGAATAGCGCAATGGTAAGCGCGCGCGGTTTAGTGGGCAAACTTGGGGGCAAATTCGAGGGCAATAACTGGGGGTTCGACTCTGGATTTACAAGAGTCTTTTCATAACGAACGAGGACAAAGATAACGAACATAGCTACAGATTGAAACAATCAAAAGAAAACTGCGAGTTCGTTGTTCGAATCAGGGTTCCATGATTTTTTGCCTTTTTACATTCCTCATTGTGAGTGTTTGTCTCTTTTTGTTCTGGCCTCTTCTGTAGATTGGGAATTACGGATGTGATGATGACAGACTGGAAGTGCCATGCCCGTGAATCGAGTGTCGGCGTCGTCGGCGATATGAATCGATCAGGAGTACATCAGATGGAACAGTGATGAGGCAAAGAAAGAAGCAGACAGAGGAAGCAGCGATAACGTTCGAGTCCGAAAGCTTCCGGTATCTTCGGACCCCAAATCATGTGAATAGCGCAACGGTAAGCGCGCGCAGTCTGGCTCAAACCTAAAAATCTTGAGGGTACTGGGGAATTTGACACTTGAGGTAGGCTGGGGGTTCAAGTCGTAACAAGTCAAACTTTCGTCCACAGCAATATGCTCTATATATACAGATCCTTTGATGTCGTGGCAGTTATAAAAGGGTGGTCATTCTTGCGAGTTCCTTGTTCGAATCAAGGTTACATGATTTTTTGCATCTTCTGATTCTCGATTTTTGACTGTTGGTGGAAGGTGATCACATGTGAATGAGGTGGGTGGTTTGCCATAAACTTTCGTTTGGGAAGTGAGACCTTGACATCGAGTTCTTCTTCCCTTCTCAAACTCATGTATTCTTATTGTGAACAATCTCCTTCAGAATGCCCAGCATGGCCTCAGAAGTCGATACCTCATCAGAAGCCGACCCGTCCTTGTTTCTCTTGAAAGCATATCGCACGACCGCCCCAATTCTCATGGCAACCTCGGCCCGAGCACGATCATCAGGCGCCCCGAAGTCTCTTTTCACTTGGTCACTGAATTCGGTCCAGAAAGCCTCCATCAGCACTTCTTTGCAGCTGTAGTCGTGCCAGCCGACCAAGTCCATGCACCCGGTCGTAAGAAGCAAGGTGTCTAGTTCCAAGCCGAATGGTCTTACTGCAGCAAGCGACCAGTCGACCATGCCAGTGATTTCGTATGTGTCGGGATCGACGAGGATATTGGTCTTGGAGAGGTCGCCGTGGGTCAGAACCTGGGGGTGATTTTCTGAAAAGAGCTGGGGAAGAGGAGCTTCCAGTGCTGACAAAGTACAGGGAGAGACAGCATTAAATGTTGGGTCTGATTTCAAAATGGGGAGTCGTCGTGAGATATCCTTTTCTTGGGCTTGCCTTGTTTGGCCGTCGACCGGCTGGGGTGCAGACCAGGTCCGGGCGAAGTACCTGGCGAGATGCCTGATGAAGCAGATGTGTTTAGTTTCCTTGTCAGAGTCAATCTCAGCCAGGTAACTGAGCATCTCTAGGGCTGCAACTCCCTGTATCAAAGGCGTTGTGTATATGCAAAGTGGCGGGTTGGAACCAGCCATCACGCCATGGAAGGTCGCCTTTGGGACCAAGTGGCCATGGATCGTGGATGCGATTCCCACGGTCTCCTCGTTGAGTCCGGATGATGATTCTCGAAATGATACCACGGTCTCTTCTGTTCCACTTCCTCCACAAATCACACTGAAAGTTGGGTTCAGTTTCGAGGGTATGAGGTGTTGCCTGATAGGTAAAAGGTCATGACGATGAGAGGGGCTGTGTCACTGTCCGCTTTCTGGCCAGCGACCAACAAGGGTCGCATGGCACACAGTGCGGAGAAGTTCAGCTCCTGAGTGCGGGTCCATTGCTGTCTGGAAAGCAGCAGATGTCAACCCTTCCAGTTGTGCTAGAGAACTAACTTCGAGCATCCAGTAAGATGGGCGTTGTACGTAAGATAATTCGTGTGTAGAAATGATAATCTTGGAAGTCTATAGCAGCTAGCGAAAAGAAAAAGACGGCATCATTCCTTGGTGACATCCTCAGAGGGAATCCACCTACCCGAGTTGTAAACAATGAAGCCAGTAACAAAAGCCAACGACATGAAGAAACACAGAACAAAGCCAATCAAGCACACCCGTAGGAATTCTCATGTACGGAAATCCATGTTTCAGGCAATGATTCCCTCTGAACAGAGGGCCAGCTTCAGCGCTTCGACAGTCGGAAGCGGCTTGGAGTCGACAAAAACTTGATGGGCGATGTTGTTCTTCTTGGGCGCATAAACTGTGCCTCCACTGCAAGTGATAATGCCGTCGTTGCCGACTTTGAAGGTCCATCCAGTCGTGATGGTGGCCGGGCTCATCTCAAGCATATCGTCCTCGTTGAACTGAACAGTGGAGAGGGTCCAACCTGCAACGCCATCTGCCTGACCTCCTTGTCACCGGCGTCCAAGACCTCGAGAGCAATCAAGTTGGTTAAGTGGTTGGCACGCAGAAAGTCGGCGAACTCGTGGAAGAACGCGGGTCCCACCATATCGGCCTTGGTGTTGCAGCTGTCACCAGTGTTCTCGTGGAACTCGTACAGGACGAAGGAGCCGTCGGCAGGTTGCACCTGGAAGACATGCCCACGCACGGATTGCTTATTGACGAGCTCAGCAACGGAACAGGCTTCGTCCAACAGGCCTCGGTCTTGTCGGTCATTGACAACTGGGTTCCCAGAAGAATAGTGCTCTGGGGGGCCGTGAAGTGGCTGTGAATCAGATGAATGCCGAAGACGTCGTGAGCTCGATGGCGGACGAAGAGCTCTCCAACAGCTCTGAGCGTGGCATCAGATAACTTGGGCTGTTGCTCGGGGTGGGGCAGGGAGTTGTAACTACAGGACAATACTGTTAGCTTTGTGGATATCAGTACATGGGAGGCTATCTGTGCGAGACAGTTCAAAGTCTTGAGCGTTTGGGGCACGGTTGAGTCCGGCGATGGAGAGAGCAGGCAGAATAGCAGTGGCAGCCATGATTGTTGGGGATTGGGTATTCAAGTTGGAAAATGTGTGAGTTAAAGTGAGAGGTGAACGGTCGACGGGAGTATGCTTGCGATGAGGTGTTGAAGGTGTTGATGAGAGAGTTGATGATCCAAACAGCAAACCAAATCAAGCTCAACCACCTTTAATACTTGTCGACTGCTCCATGTTTCTTAGACTTTGAGATCGTTACTGCCTCCTCGTTGAGCCTTCTTGAACTCCTGGGAGCTGTGATTCTGGCATTGTAACCATCATGACCACTTCACAGCGAGTTCGTGACCGTATTTCATCCCTCTGATCAACCTAAAGTCCATTCCTGGCCACATAAAGACATGAGACATCTCAAGTAAACAGAGTTTTCCTGCAAATTGTTCGCCTGTTGAAGTGACCCCTTTCCGCCTGTTGAAGTCATGATCTCTGGAGGACAGCCAATATCACAATCTCGAGGGAGCAGACCCAAGGCTGATTATCCGTCTCGTATCCGTGTGAAGCGGTCCAGAATCTGATGAATTTTTTTAAAGCTTTGTCGCGGATTAAGAATGAGGGTGACGCTGCATTTGCGCAGGCTTCAGTCCAGTGTGCACTGTGTGCCACAAAACTTCAGAGGCCAACAACTTTTACACCGTGGTGTTGAGTGACTCCAACCACTAGAACGAATTGGTGATAGCTCAATCAGTAGGGAAAAGCTTCACTAACAGCACCCAACGAAGTGTGGTGATTGGCTATACCCCGCTCCCGACACGCTGGAACCGAGCCGTGGCGGTGAGGTTGGTGCAACCAACAGCCCTTCCATCAGAGCCTCAACTGTAATGCCCTTGCAGCAGCCTGGTAGTAGCAGCCAGATACATAGGCAGAGACCGAGGCTCTTTGGTGCTCACCGAGGAGACATGATTGTTTCCTGGGATCGTAGCCTCTCCCATGATCTCGTCGGTATTCTGGTTCTTCCTTCAGGTCCATGCATCATCGAGAGCATCAACCACACCGAGATGCCACTACCCATCATCACCAGCTGGCCCGACTTCTCCCATGTCTCTGAAGAAGACGACCCAGAAACTGAGCGCTTCAAGTACACGATGTGCGTGGCGGTCGACACGGACGATACCGTGTTCTACGCCGAGCTCCCTTTGCCCAAGGCAGATATCACCTTTGAGCAACTTACCTCGGCACTCAAACCAATTCCTGACGACGAGATAGACGCAGGATGGCCCTCCACAGTACTACCATGTGGAACACCTAGCCTTGCGCTCTTCGCCGGTTCTGAAGACCCAAAAGAAAATAAGAACTTCTACATCAAGCGTCCCCGCTTTGCCCTCTACGACGTCTTCAGCAGGCACGGCACCCGTGTTACCCGCCTCCTGGGTCAGAACTTGTTAGAAGAAGCAGAGGTCATGGAACTCCTCTCCAGGAATCCCCATCCAAATATCATCAAGTACCATGGTTGTGTATCCCAATGCCGGTATCTGACGGGTATAGTGCTGGACAGGCACAGTGAAGCCACCATCGATGAGTATCTGAAACAGGGTCGGGAAATTACAGACAAGCAAACCGTCATGGATGAGCTCGAATCCGCCATCCTACACCTGCACTCGCTTGGGTGGGCACATAACGACTTGAACCCGAGCAACGTGATGGTTGCAGTTGATGGAGAGACTGGAAACATCAAGCCAATTCTGATCGACTTCCGGTCCGCAAAGCCGGTGGGTGAGGCCTTGGGTACCTCTCGTGGTACAGCTGGCTGGATTGATGGGAAAATCGAGGATTACACTACCTCGAAGAAGGAGAATGATATCTTCGCTCTGCAAAAGATCCGGGCATGGATTGAGGAGACAACGTCATGAGTCTCGTGCCTATAAAGGCGTCGATAGGTATATTGGTATCTATGTGTCTCTAACATCTATCAGAAAGTGTGGGTGTATAGGGGACAGTATCGCCAAGATTGCGGAAACGGCGCTGCAAATGCTTGAGAATTTGGTCAGAGTCGTTCCGTTGATCATGAAAAAATGTTAAGAGCACCTGTCGTGCTGGTGTAGAAACAAGTTCCGCTCAACGACACTGCGCATATAAGCGTGTAGGGAACGCGGTTTCTCTTCCCAGTCAGTCATCATTCGTGATCTCATGCTCCTTTACGAATCGATTTAGTCGACCGCGGGAGTAGCGTGCCCAGAAAGAGGCCTTTGGTTGGAGAGTGGTGAACTCTTGACGGCT